TGTGTGTGTGTGTGTGTGTGTGTGTGTGTGTGTGTGTGTGTTTGCTTCATTTTAAAAATAAATCATTATTTTGGCTCAATTACCTATGACCCAGCTTTTCCCTAGAAATTATTGACAGCAAAAAATTCTAATTTAACTAAGGATTCTAAATGGTTGGTTCTAATTGTAGCTATACTTTACATTTAAATAGCACAGTTATCAATTTTTTTTATGTATTATCTTATTTGGTTGTAACAATGACCTTACAAGAGAAGTAGTATAGATATTATTGTTCTCATTTTTCAAATAAGGAAACTGAGTCACAGAGTCAAAGTCACACAATTAATAAGTGGCAGAACTGAGATTCAGTCCCCAATTTTAATTGAGATTTTACTCAACCTGCTTTTCACCCCCCCCCCCCGCCCAAACCTGACCAGTAAGGAGCACTACAAACTCTCAGTACTGTTGGCTGGATCCCAATAAGTGGGATGAATTGCAGGTCTCACATAGCATTATCTATTTCTTCTGCGATCCAAAGTTGCTGGCAGTGACCCTTCTGACAGTTAAAATGACTGGTGTGTCCTATTCTGTGCCATATCCTTAAAATAGAGATTGTGCAAAGAGTGTTTGCCAAATAATATGAAATATAACATTTTTGTTGTTGAGTTGCTTCAGTTATGTCCAACTCTTCATGACCCCTTTTGGGGTTTTTTTGGCAGAGATACTGGAGTGATTTGCCATTCCATCTCCAGCTCATTTTATTTTATTTTTAATTTTTTTTTTAGGCAATTGGGGTTAAGTGAGTTGCCTAGGGTCACACAGCTAGTGTCAAGTATTTGGTCTGAGGCCGGATTTGAACTCAGGTCCTCCTGACTTCAGGGCCAGTGCTCTATCCACTGCGCCACCTACCTGCCCCCTTCCAGCTCATTTTACAGATGAGGAAACTGAAGCAAACAGAGGTTAAGTGACTTCCCACCATTACACAGCTAGTGAGTGTCTGAGGCCAGATTTGAACTCAGCGAGATGAGTCTTTCTGACTCCAGGCCGGGCCCTCTATCCACTGTGCCACTTAGCTGCCCCCAAATTAAAACACATTCACACAATTTTCTTTTGACATTTAAGAAAGCTTTGTCTTTAGCTAAAAAAGCAGCCTTTGATACCATTGTCGTAAGTTGAGGTTGTCACATTTCCAAGCACCACCTGATGTGTGAAAGTAGGAAAAAACCAGAATGAGCCTTTCCCACTTGTTCCTTCAGGTTGGAGAAGTAGGTGTTGTCATCCTATCTCAAACCTGAAATGCAAATAATAGAAGCAGAGCAGCCAAGAAAATATTAACAATTCTGGGAAGAGCAAATGACTCACCAGCTCACTGAAGTCATCTGAGCTGGTGCATTTATACCCATAGGGGTACATGAGCAGCTGAGAGTAGCTGTGGAGGGTGATGAAGGCTTTGATTTCTCCATGGTTCTTAATGAAGTCCACGATGGATTTCACTTCAACTTCTGAGTTGGCACTTGGTCCATGGTATGAGTCAGAGCAGGGGTTGCTACTGGCTCCAGGTCCTGTTGACAATTAAAATATACTCAAAGGAAAACTCTATTTCAAGGAGATAAAAGTTATTAAAGTCTTCCTCAGGGAATCCAGTAATCAGTTGTAAGAGGGCAGGGCCAAGGAACCACCTAGAGGAAAGTATCAGGAAGTAAGACTGGACAGCCTTTGACCATTTCTCACTCTTCTTTGTAGGGCAGCTAGGTGGCACAGTGGATAGAAAGTCTGTCTCTGATGCCTCCCCAGGCTTCTTGCCAATTCAATCCAACAAGCATTCATTAAGCATCTAGTATACGTAAGGCTGGGCACCAACATGGCATAGTGGATAGAGTGCCAGGTCATGGAGTCAGAAAGAATCATCTTCCTGAGTTCAAATCTGGGCCTCAAATACTTACTAACAGTGTGACCCTGGGCAAGTCATTTAATCCTGTTTGCCTCAGTTTCCTCATCTGTAAAATGAGTTGGAGAAGGAAATGGCAAACCACTCCAGTATTTTTGCCAAGAAAACCCCAAATGGAGTCATGAAGAGTTGGACACGACTGGAAAATGAATAAACAGCAAAACAACATTCGTCTTACAAGTACATCATGGAGAAAAGAAAGCTACTGAATTAGATCAAACTCTCTCCATGGGAATTATTAGGAGGGATTTCTGCCCACAAGCCACAAAGTCATAGGAAAGTCATAAAGATGACAAAGTCATCTTTAAAGTCAAAGGGCAAAATAAGATGCTGGAGGATTTGGTCCAGGACCCAAACCCTGGGAAGCTTTGGAATTCAGGCCTGCAAAAGGACTCATTGTTACTCTGGTGGGACCTAGAACTCTGGAGGGCCCTAGGAGAAAGTGGTGAATCTGTTCTCTCTTCACCTTCAGGGTATTCAAAGGGTATGGAGAAAAAAACATAGGTCATATACCTTTTTCTCATTTAAATCTTGTTATGTTGTACAATATTTTGGGAGGAAATGTGACATTGCTCGATATTTGGTATTTGACGTTTGTCTTGACAAGATGATGATTGTGAAATGAGAAGGTTGGATTAGACCTCCAAGGTCCCTTTCAGCTCTAAAATTCTCTGAGTCTATGCATTTGCCTTTTCTAGATCTTGTCATACCTGTCACTGAACTTTAGGAGGGTATGGATGGAGGTGAACAGGATCTAGGAAAAGGCATTAAATTTAATTCCATGTGCCACTTTGCAAATAAAATTATGTCAGAATTGTAAAAACTTTATAACATTCAGGGGGGAAAAAAGATGTCTAAGTAAGATCATGCCTTTTGCATGCATCAAACTCTTTCTGGTCATTGGCTCCTTCAGGACTCAGTCTATGGGACAAAGGCAACAATTCCAGAAGAAAGAGGATCATTGGAGCTGAAGAGGGCTACGTTGGACCATACAACTCAGGACTGAAAGGTACTGTGGAGATCCTCCAATCCAATGGCACTTATTTTACAAAAGAGAAAATTGAGACCCAGAGAGGGCAAGTGACTCTCCCAAAGTCACACATGTACTAAGTGATAGAGACAGGATCCCAATTTAGGTTCTCCGTCTCCAAATCCAGGCTTGTCCATGAGAGAGGCAAAGCATAAAACACTGTGTCTCCTTCTTAGCCCAACAAAAATAGTCCACCTCACCCGAGTAGGAAGCTTACTCAGGACTTCTGGAATTTATCTGTTTTGTTTTATTTTTTAAGATGGATGGTTGTAAAGGAAAAGGAAAAAACACAACAAAACAAAACCAAAACTTGTTCTCTGGAACCAAGTATCCCACCTCCGAAGCCTGCATCCCAGTTCCGGTTTGGATCAACACCAACACAGAGGCTTCCAGAAACCGTGGACCGGGTCTTCCGCCACATGCGATTCTAGGAAATCCAACCACAAGAGCATTAGAGAAAAGCATAAAAAATGATCCAGGTACAGAAAAGCCTCCTTTGGAATGTCTTCAGTTTCTCCACTACCTGTGGACCAGGGATGGTCCTGAAGTGAGCACCTGTGGCTACGGAGAAACAGGTGTCTGATTGCAGAGATATTTGTCCCAGTCGACTAATCTTTCTCTTCTCTGATGTCTGGCCAAGGTGAGAGGTAAAACCTCCCATATCTCTTTAAACAACCTATAGACAATAGGTCTGTGGTTTCGACATTTTTGGTTTGTTAGTCTTAGATGAAGAGCCCTTGTATAGTGAAAACATGTTTCTCAGTACGATCTTTTGATATTTTCTTAAACAGGGTAATTTTCTAATGTCTCCTAAGCCTTATTTCACCACTTTGGGGCCTAACTTTGGCATGTGATGAGGTTTTAACTTTCTGTGGAAATTTCCTAACCACTTTACTAAAACCTCCCAAGCTCTGGCCTTCCCTGACTGTCTATTCTGATAAGCTACCCTCCCTGGCATAGGGCCAGCAGTGCCAAGGTGGTCATGAAGCTGGGGCGGCATCTAGAGATAAGTCCTTAGTGACTCAAATGTTCAAAGGGAAATGCCCCACTCTCCCTTCAAGGTCAGGGAGAAACACCTCCCTCCTTATTTCAAGGAAAGGAAGAATACCTTATTTCTATACAGCTGACCAAAGAGGGAGATACCCCAGAAAAAAATCCTATATAAACCATACCAAAACCCCTAACCAGGGAGCAATCACTGATAGTCCTTGGACCGCCTTATTGTCTCCCACTCTTGGCTGAAGCCCAAAGAGCTCTCTTCTGGTCCCTCAGAGAACATTTAACCCCTGAATGGGACTCCAAAAACTCTGCCCTCTTCCTCTCCCTTATCCCCAGTTAGGTTTAGATGCTGCTCTGACTGCCTCTGGAACCACGACTGCCTACCCACTGACTCCCAGTGCTGACATCAGTGTGCCACTAATAAAGCCTCCTATAGTGACTATTGGAGTCATCCCTTCTTGATAGAATCCAAAGGAACCAGCTGGATGGGTGACAAGTCCAGCAGGGGCCCCAGCTACTTCCCCTTAGTTCATGAGCTGCTGAGCAGAGCTATGACTAAGTATCTTGATTACTGCACCCTCATAGATGGGGATAGACAGCCAGCCTCAATGCTACTTTCCATCCTCTTGAGCCAGGCCCTTGAAGCACGTACCCAGTGGGAGGGACTCCTACATTCTGTTCTCTTAGCTCACGCACCGTTTGTTCACTCAGCCAGGCAGCCACACCAATATCCTGATGGACCTTGGGGTTCAAAGAGAAGGCCTTCTCCATTCTTCCAGATCCATAAATTGCTGAGCAAAGCTGGTATTGGGACTCTCAGCAGTTGCACCAATATCCTGGTGAGCATGACGCTGTGATTCTGGTCTCGAAAACAAGGGTTAGGGATCTCAACTTCATACCTCAGCAAGAGGAAACTCCCTTCCCCTTAGATCTATGAGTGTGACTAGGGACTCTGGCTGCTGTTACCAAAACCAGGGTCCAAACCACATGCCTCAGCTATGGCTAATCAATTTTTCCCTCTGGTGGCCAGAGCAGAGTTCCTGCCCTTCAGGTAGTGAAAGTGGCTATATAAGTAGCATTGCCACCACCAAAACACCTTGCCATGGTGGTGTGTGACTTTTGGAACAACTTTCAGCATTAGAAAGGATCACGCCTGCATACTTTGACAGAATCCTGATTTCACCGGTCTGAGTACTCTCCTCACCCAACGCAAATCACATCCCCTCGTCTTCTTCTCATCTTGTGCAATTAACATCCTCCGTGATGGATCTATCCACAGCCTTCATCTTATGCCTTTAATATCTCGTGTCCAGCATATCACCTAGTTTGTTGACCTGTTGTCTTTCATTCTTGTTATTTGACTGGCCCAACTCCTTTTCTGATCTTACATATTAGTAACCTCATTATATCACCTACCTAAATTCAATAACAACTTATCGTCAGGGAGTATAATTCTTTTTCAATTTCTTGTCATTCCTACTACTGAATGAAGGAGATGATTAGAAGAAATACACTCAGCTGCCCACGTGAAAACCACACTCCAGGAGAGCAGTCAAAGGGCCCTGTGGGACGAGACTACTCCTAAAGTCATTTTAGACTGGAAAGACAAGATCTCAGAGTGAAGTGAACTCAGTAGACTTAGGTAAAACCAAAACAGAAAGATCAGCTTCATCCCCTTTTGTTTTTTAAGACCACACATGTTTTCCTCCATCTTCTAGTTATCACTGAAAAGTCAAACAGGGGTTGCTTACTTTGGTGTAAGAGAAGACATATCCGTCTGGGTTTGTAACAGGCAAGAGGAAAATATCCATTGTATCCAAAAGGGCTGTGATGGATGGGTCCTTTCCATAATCGGATGCAATCTAAAGAGAGACAAAACCTAGCTGTAGGATCACTTTTCCAGGAAATCCAGAGAAGTCATGTTCCAGTTATGTTTATCAAAGTGTGATCTATAGCTATCCTTGTTGTTATTGAGGGTTCTCTAGGTGTTCTGTTGTCTGGTCTTATGTGGAATGTTTATCACAAATAGTTTAACATGACTGTACATGTGTAATCTATATCATGTATAACCTCGCTGTCTTGGGAAGGGGGTAGAGGAGGAATGGAGGGAGGGAGGGAAGAAAATTTGGAACTCAAAAATCTTATAAAAAATGAATGTTGGAAACTATCTTTATATGTTATTGGAAAAAATAAAATGTTAATTATAATGAAAAAGAATGTTTGTCATAAAATAATACAGACAATTTCTTTTGTTTCTGGTCTGAATTACTTACATATTTACAACTTAATTTAAAAATAGACTTCACTTTAGTGCCACAGAATGGTACAGTGGATAGACAGTCAGGAAGACCTAGATTTAA